AACAAAAGCCTCCACGTTAAGATCCGTTAAGATCTCTATTCCTCAAAACCAGGAAGAAAGCTGACTCCTGAAAGGAGTCTTTGCCTATACAATCAATACATTTGAGTTTCAGGCCCCAGACCCTTCAAACTTTGAGGCATAGTTGTCAGGAAGTTTCATCAGCACTGACAAACATTAAGCTTTTGACATTAACACCCAACTGAAAACACTACCACCCAACAAGTTCAAGTACAAGCTTCCAGGCTACTGGCTTCTGACTGTTAATGGACAAGTCGCATCCAAGTACATTAAAGCAACTCTGGACTCTCCTCAAGTTAAATCCTATTTCTTAACCACAGTCCCATTCCAAACTCTTCCAGCAATCTTACCTAGTCTCACAGGAAGTGTACCTTTAAATCTGAGCAGTTTAAACTTCTTGCTTCAAAGCAACTTGAATTCCTGCTAAGTCAGTTCAACAATTTCTGGTGACAAGAGAAGAAAAGTTAAGTTTTGCCCAGTGTATCACAGACTGCTTGAGCTTGGAAGAGACCTCTGGAGGTCATCTTGTCCAACCCCCTGCTCAGGTCCAACCTCAACCCATTGTCCAGGACCACATCCAGGCAGCTTCTGAGTATCTCCAAGGACGGAGACCCCACAACCTCCCTGGCCAACCTGTGCCAGTCCTCAGTCACCCACACAGTAAAAAAACGGGGAAAAAAAAATAATGCATTTCCTGATGTTCACAGGGGCCTGCCTATGTTTAAGTTTGTACCCCTGTCCTCGTCTTATCACTAGCCACCACTGAGAAGAGCCTGGCTCTGTCCCTGCAGATATTTATGTACACTGATAAGAGCCCCCTGAGCCTCCCCTTCTCCAGGCTAAACAGTCCCAGCTATCCCAGCCTCTCCTCCTGAGAGATGCTCCAGTCCCTTCCTCACGTTCATGAACCTTCACTGGACTCTAGTACATCCACATCTCTTGTTCTGTGGAGCCCAGCCCTGGACATGGTGCTCCAGGTACAGCTCCACCACTGCTGAACAGCAGGGAAGGATCACCTTCCTCCACCTGCTGGCAACACCTCTCCAAGCACAACCTTCTTTGCAGCAAGGGCAAATCTGGGAAGATAGACAAGTGGCTATATTAAAGCAGCAAAAGAGTTGAAATGCAAGAATGAAAGTTCCCCATACTACCCTAACTCAGCACACACGTAGAGACTGATCCATGCTACGTGACAAAGTCAAGTCCCTCCCACGTCATTTGGTTAAACACTACAACAGGCAAATTAAAAGCCCAGAGGAGGATCAGAAACCAACTTCCTGGTGTTGAAGACTGCACCGTGAAGGTCAAGTTCACTTAGGCTGCTGGGTACTTCGGACTTCCCACCCAGTCAGTCTTAGTAAAGTGATTCTTGAACACCTATAAGAGCAGCACCACAGAAAATTCACACTGCACACGGAAGAGTTTGAAACATGCGAACTAAACTCTGGATGAATGAGACTGAAGTTCACCAGACAGGGTCTTCCAACCCACTGCGGATAAGCTCCATGTTGCATTAGTTGTAAAACACAGTGGGGACAAGTGGGAGGGGACAGGGTATGTTAGCCTGGCCCTTAGTGAAGTACTTCAGTGTAGTATCAACATCCACTTGCCAAGTTCAAGAGAAAGTAGGATTTTCTCCCCAAAATGGCCCAACAGTTATCATCAGGTTAAAACACTTTATTCTCCTGTTTAAGGCAACAGGAATCCTTATTTACACAGACTTTGAGATAACATTTTTAATTTAAGTCTGTGCATTCTGCTTAAGCTTTGGAGTTTAAATTAACCACGAAGGTGTTTAAGACTATATTTTAAGATTATTTATTTTACAATAAATGTTCTTTAACGAACACTTACTTCAGAACTACTAATACAAGCAAGTGAGCTATTCTACTGAGACAGTGGTGTTCTCCCAGTTCTTCGGAACCCATTTTAACAAGTCTAGGAGGAGCAAACATTTAGAAAGACAGAACACAAACCCAAGATGTTTGTCACCTCTACTATCCTAGCCAAGATCACTTCATCAAATTGCTCACAGAGGGAGAAGAACTTTATTTAGCTGTCTCAAATAAAACTGCTCCAATCAGCCCCACACTCAGGCCTTCACTATCGTACCCAGCAGGGAGGGCAGGCTCCCAAACCAAGTGCTCCCACTGCCCTCGGAAGCAGCCTACCATCCTCCAGAGTTGGAGGAGCCAAGACCTTGACCTTTACCACTTAACTGGGATGATTAAGTCACACTTCACATGACTTTTCAGTCTTTCCACCAAAAAAAAGCAGCACTATAGGTTAAAAGGAAGTCACTGCATCCCCCTTCACCTTTCCCATTGCAGGTTAGGGTGGAAAAAAAAACATGTTCATGGACTACACATTAATTGCAACATAACATCTAGCTCATGTGAGCTGCTGACAATGCTGCCCACCAGATGCCTCCGGGGAAGGAAGCTGTGTATGATAAGTGTTTCCTAGAAGAACTGTTTCTAGTATTCCCCAATTTCTTCATCAGTAAAGAAAGTACACTTTTTTTAAAAAAAAATCTGTAAGCAGATAACCAGAACACAGTTTTAAAATTCAACCAGCTTGCTCCCAATGGCATTCCCTTTTAAAGGGTGACAAAGTTTAGGAAATACTGTAAGAAATCCACATTACTGATCCTAAATTGCTGCTTTGGAAGGGATATAAGCTCATGCTGAATAATTTAAGTTTTGTTATTCACTTTTAATTACCTAACTGAACAGCTTTTCTTACTAGTGACACATTTATTCTTTGATAAGACCATCAAAGAGTTACTAGGGAGCTGAAATAGCCCCAAAGTCTACAAAGACACAGTTCTGAACTGACTGAAAACAAGATTTTCACCCTAAATGATTGAAGTGGCCTTTGTGGAAATTATTTATACTTGTTCAAAATAGGAAGGCTTCTTTTAAGTATCGGCTCTTGCTCTTCCCTTACTACTGAGGTCTGCTTTCTGACAGGACATTCCTGTTATTTCTGAGAGAAGCATTCTGAATTTCTATGAAGTCATCCACAAGGATTTCTTTTGCTGCCTCTAATTCCTTCATGAAATGAATATCAAGGGAACTTGAACAAGATTGTTTTCTCACTGGTTAAATCTGTATGTGTTTTGTGCTACATGAAGGAGAGTTTGGGCATTCCTATGAAAGCTTCTGCAATGAGTGAAGAGTGATCAGCAATATAAAGACACCTAATCTCAGGGAGTGCATTTTAAGATGTAGATGGGGTGACAGAAGGGGTGAAGTAGCACAGAACGGCCACACTGATGCCATAGCTTACTCTAGCTGCACCACAAGGATGCAGTTTGAAGAGGATAAGAAAAAAAAAAAAAAAGAGTTCAAGGCAAAGAATAGGAGATGTTAAGAGTATACTGCAACTATACTTGGCTTGCAAAATTAACATTAAGATATATTTTGTGGCTGACTGAAGATGACCGTCAGTAATAGGTAGTCCACTGATGCCCTTCAGTAGCCTCTTAATTCTTGTTCCATCTTTTTCCAGCTGCCCTAATTCCCGACTATCCTCCAGTCTCTTCAAATGTACTATCACCCTACTGCCTACAAAGTCATTGTAGACTCTCTAAAACAAATGAAAATAAGACCCCCGTGTCCCACCACATTCTCCAACTATAGTATTCTAGCCAGTTACACAGCAACTTCAAAGCATAATAGATGTCAGTACTTAGTACTAACTTAGTGCTTCTAACAGTAGCTAGTACTTGACTGAAAGCTTTTGTAAGGAAAGCTGCGTCAACCTGACAATCATCTTCCCCTTACTGACATTTCTTCAGTTCTTTCAACTCGCAGTGAAGACTTTCAGCTTTGTGCACTAGCAGATTCACTCTGTCAAAAGACAAGACACTGCTTTGCCTTTTCCTCTGTTTCTACACAGAAGCCTCTCACTGGAGAGAGAAGGTAGGAACTTTTGCAAGTTCAGTAAAAGGGAGACAGTGATGATGCCAAGTGAGGGGTACCCGTAGTCATCTTTTGAACCAAAAAAGTGTCTGAGAACACCACATGTCATTAGAGAGAAGAATTGCAGGCAACAGAACAACATCATAAAGCTGGGACACAATGTGAAGGATGCTGTAATTACACACGATATCTGCAGCATTTAATTACAAAGACAGTGTGAAGCTACAAAAATTGAGTGGTCAGGACATGCTCCAGGCACAGAAGAGACCAAAAATATTCCCAATTCCCATGGCTAGATCTACAAACCATAGATCTACACTTTCAATAGCCAGAAAAAGCAATAAAATTCAATCCTGACTCTTCTTTCAGGGTGTTTAAAACCTATTCACATTAAATATGAATAATACTTTACCAGGCAAAGAACATATTCCAGTGTCCCACAAGCTAACACAGTTCACAGGGACTAAGACGTTTTTAGCTAATAAAAAAAACAGTACAAGCTAGTTAAGTTCTAAAACATGTTTTAGTAGTCCATGAGATTGAAAGTTGTTTAAAAAAAAATAAATCACCAACATGGAGTTCTGATAATCCCTTGAAAGCAGAACTTTTTTTTTAAATGACAAAGAATCAAAGCACATTTAGCGTGGGGATTTTTTTGGTAAAGGGCACAGCTGTTCCCCTACATATTTCACTCTGTGTGCATTTGAACATTGAAATCTTCTGTTGTCGCATACTTGGTTTAATCTGGTAGGGTGGTGGGGTTTGGTTGTTTTGTTTTTTCAGTTTAAGTGTTTAGGCTCTGCAGTGAGGTGACAAGATGATGTCCTTAGCGTAGCAAGACTTATATGATCCATGGGCAAAGTTCAGCAGTCTCCCTGTGGTCACAGGGCAATTGGACAGCCAGAGCATCCTGCGCTCACAAACCGGCTGCAAGCCAGGCGTAGATTGACATAGTGACCACAGAAATGGTTGACAGCAGGAACGCAGCAGTTTTTACATTCTAAAAATCAGTAATTCATTTCAGCAGAGAAAAATTAAAATGAGTATTGGAGGTACCTTTTGAAATAGTTAGTGCTGGGGACCACTGTGATCGTAGAATATCAAGACAAATGCTGCCATTACTGTTAATATTTGGATGATAGATTCTTGTTGTAAATGCAACCTGCAGAAGAAGGAAAATTTCAGTGTAGGCTCACAAACGTACATTACACCACACGGTAATGAACGGATTTATGGTACAAGCCACTCACCTTAGGTGGTTTGAAGGGATAATCTGTTGGGAAGTGAATTGTCAAGAAAAATACTCCACCTTGATAGGGACTGTCATTCTGTTAATGAAAAAGAATCATTGCAGTTTGAGGAGTTATTACAAGACGACTGGTCATAAAAAGCTGTGAACATCAATTCTCTCATACTTACTGGTCCCATTATTGTAGCTTGCCAATGGAACACTGAAAAAGAGAAAGATTTACTTCAGTTTGGAGAAACTCAAGTAATGAACTACTTAATTCCAGACAAAGCAGCACAGAAAAGTCTATTTGAAAAACAAAGCCTTCTGAAAGGCTGCAGGGAAGCAAGACAAAAAATTAAACAGAGACAGAGCGAAGTACCCAACACTCCACATTTGCTCGGTCCACACTTTGGTATTGCTGTGGTACCACACACACGTCATGCCCTGCAAAAAAATTCCTTTACAGTAAAAGCCCAGATAGCTATAGTCAACATTTCAGACCTGACAAATTTGGAAGCTCAGCTTGCTTTGTTTCCAACGAAGCACCTGAATCAAAGCCCAGTTTCCAACAACTGCCCTCTTTGAGCAAGCTACAGCAAAGCCACAATAGGAACTCATACCTTTCGTAGGGAGGATGTCTCCTGCACAAGGATCTCTCCTTGGTTAAATGGAAAGTAAGCCTAAGCTTTGTATACACTGTATCTATCAAGAGGTACCCTAAGCCAGTGGTATCTTGACAGAATGTTTAAGCTTAGTCTCCACAGAGGCATCAAAATTTTGTTAAAGCAGCAGAAAGCAATACAAGTTTTAAGAGAATGCAAGAATGACAGTCTGCTTAATACTTGGGACCAGGGTATGCTCATACACACTTTAGGTTAAATGGACAGAAATTAAGTCTCACACGTGTGCATCTGTGCAAGAGTACATCTTAATAGAGAAGATTCACAAAGAATGTTTTCCTTATGTTCTGCAGCATAAAGACAATCAAAGCTGTTTATCTGTATGAGGCACGTTCGGAAGTTCTCAGAGTTCCTGCATCTTCCAAAGGCTCTAACACTCGCCTCTGAAGAACACCATCTTAACAAACTATTTGTGAAACAGCACCATGGAAAGTTTCCCTCCACACAGATGTCAGCTACACTGCATCTTCAGAACCGGGGAGTTGTACAAAAGACTCCACTCACAGCAAGGTATAAGTCTTTGAGCCACAGAAGTTAAGTACACAGCTGCAAGCGGCTTCAACTTGCAACTGGTGCCTACTGCTTTCAAGACTACCTGTGCCAAAAGTAGTTTTGGCCCAGAGTAGCACTACTTTTTCTAATCTGGCACGAGCAGTTTTTAATTACACATGGTAGAGGCATTACAACTGGGAATGATCTCATACAAGGAAGGGCGATGGGGTCTGGGAGCAGAATGGACAGCAAGGGGAGAAGAGTGTTTGGTTAGAGCAGCAGGTTTGTTGCAGAGGGCATTGCAGCTGGGAACACCAGCTAACATTTTGAGAAACTGCACCCAGTGTGGAGTAGGGAAATCAAGACAGTGGCTCATGAGTTCATATGTAGTGTTCACCCATTTTAAAAGCTACACAGGAAGTCTGCATCACCTGCAGCCTCACTGAGGAACCTAAAACAAGAGGACAGAGGGGCAGCATAAACCCAGCAGTGAAGACTGCGGCTCATCACAGAAAAAACACCAAGAATTTCACATGCATCAGTAGATGCCAATAAGATTCACTGTGACCACACTGAAATACACTGACAGCACTGGACGTTATCATGCATACTTCTGCACACTAAAAAGAAGCTAATATAATCAACTACTGTCCTAAACCCAACAAGAAACCAGAAAAAAAGACCCAAAACGCTTTCACAGTGGATATTAATTTTTTTTTTAAACAAGCTAGAAGGGCTGTTTGTTTTGTTGCGAGTTCCCCTGCTGCCACCTCCTACCCCAGATTCAAGGAAAGTGCTTGTTTATCTTTAGATTCTCACAACATCCAAGACAAGTTTGATGAACTAAAAGATGGATTTGTCATGCAGAGCTTATTTCAACTGATGCGTTGCTTTGAAATCACCCATTCAAAAGGTTGTTTACAAAGTTAAGGGGGTTACTGGCTTTCAGTAGCTAAGCACAGGTACATGTTTGGAAGTGAACTAAGCCACTGCATAGCACTCTGGAAGTACACTAGTGTAATCCAGATTCAAGCATATTTCCGAAACAAAGGCCAGAGATGGGTGGAAGAGGGCTAGAACTACATTACCATGAGAAAGAAAAATCACATCCCTACAGTTAACACAGCAGAAACAGCTCCTCACTTCCCCAAGTTTATGAAGTACCAGGACAAGAAGCTTACAGCTGGGACAGTTTATATCAGCTGGACTAGCCACAAGACACCACTTTGCAAGCACAGCATGAACTCTGAGAAATGTCATTCTGACAAGGCAACCGAGGCAGACCTAGAGACAGGGATCTCCACGAAGGAATCTTTCTGTTGCTGCCACTGCTATCCACTTACATACAGCCAAAGCGTTGCTCTCAACAGTGGAAGACTTTCATTAGAGTTCTTTCAGAAAGGTGGCATGAGAAGAAGAGTTGAATGTTACTTTAAAGTTTTCTGTATTTGGTAGTAAGTCTCCATTATAAGCCTTCACCAACTTCTGTTACCACCTTCTCCACCAGATGACCTCCATCACCTTTGATAGTCTTTGGAAACTATGAAGTAGTTCATCATGGCACAAGTCACACTTGCTAATTTAAGGCAAGAAAAGCCTCAGACTGGCTCTACATCTTCGTAATTTCTCTTCCCTTAAACTACAAGTTTCTTTGAAATGCTATTTTGAAAGCAGAAATAAGTTGTGGAGTAACTACAAGCTACTAATGCTACTGCTAAAAATACTCAAACCCAAAAGCAGTTTTCGCTTGTTTGAAAGGACTGGCAAACAGTAACATCTCCTCTAATTTCAGTATTTTCATTCTCAGGTTTCAAGTGCTTTTTTCAATCCAGTCCTAACTTTCTACAGGAATGTGCAAGTTTATATACACTTCAGCACTTCTGAATAGTTCAGAAAGGAGTCAGAAAGATCTTGGCAACTAATTTTTTCCTTTTAGAAAGGACTGCTAAACAGAGTTCTTAGCACATAGATGGAGGGTTTCCCTACTTCAATGTCCCCTACTTTCACAAGCTTCACTGAACAGCACACTTGTCAGAGAGACGGCGTTGCACAGCAAGTTCAATGCACGCTTTTAAGGGGCACCCCAATCAAAGCTTCCGAGTGTTCTCATGTGGCCTCTTCTACACAACAGAGCTGCTACAAAAGAAGTGTGAATACATTCCCTCATCTCAGGCATTTTATGCACATTAAATGCATTGGCATTTAATGCAAGTACCTGAATTTACCCCCAAGGCCCATGGTAAAGTTATAAAGCAAAAGGTGAATTTGCAAGTGTTCTCATCTCATTGCAAACATCCTACTAATTTTGCTCACCTAAGCTGTGACCAAGAGTTTAATGCTGCTATAAAAAAAAAATATAGTAGCTCTCCATATTAACTAGGATTTTACACTTTCTGGTGAAGACTACACAGCTTGCAAAACCACTGCAAGGCCTCTCATAGAAAACCACCATAAAGTACAGGGCAACATTTAATTTGCCTTACTCACAGCTAATCAAAGCAGACTGGGGAACATTACCTAGAACCAAGACAAAGAAGTATGCATATAAACACCATTAAGCCAAGTCACATGATATATCTTGCCCTCCTCTCTAGGAAAAAATACACATACTACATGACACTAGATCTTATTATAAAACAATATTAGACAAAAAAATTAGGGTAGGACTTTAAAGAATAACTGCTTTTTTTTTTCCCCTCCTACTTTAAACACAGCTCCCCAAGCTTTGAAAGGTGAGAGTAACAACTCCAAATTACACACCAGGTAAACAACCATGTGCAGTAGAGACGACCAGCTGATATGCAGGCCAAAAAGATCGTCCTAGGCTATCCCCTATGTGGAACCTGGCAGGGCCAACTGATTGGAGTACAGTTTTTAAACATAACAGTACTGTGCATACTGATGGATCCTCTACCCGTACTTCTTATCTCATACCTAAGCAGCCATGGCCAAATCAAACGAGGTTGTTATTACAGCAGAATTCAGACATTGACTTGCTTATTGAGAAAGCCACAAGTAATATCCCAAACTGAGTGAAATCCTGCTAAAAATAGAGCCAAACCTGGTTTTCAGTTCTACTCTGGTGTGCTCTATAACATAACAGCACAAAACAGATTAAAGAACAACCAATGCTTCCAGTGTTCCTATAATTCGTTTAACAACTTTTTTTTTAAATATCTAACACTACTTCACAATTCAAGCTTTAATTTACCAACTAGTTTTCCTTCCCTTCACATTTTAACCTCTTATCCCCAAGGACTACACGTAGTCCTCGTCCAAAACACAATGTTAACTAACTCCTGGGTAAAATCTAGTTAACCCTGACCTTGCTGGACCAGCATCTAGGATTAGGAGCAGATTGTTTTACTTCTACAGGACCATGCGACTACACTATGTATGTTTTAGATACCAAACAAGTTCAGAAAGCTGTATGAAGATACTTGCTGGTTTGGCCACAGAGCTACTGAAGTTTACTAACTTCTGCAGACAGCATGCCCAATGAGAATGCCACAACTTGGAAGGGTGCAACTTGAGATGTCTTCAGCGCACAGTCACCCAGTCAATACAGTGGGGGCAACTGAGATCCAGTGATACACAAGGAAGGAATAAGGGATACAGAAGGGCAGAAAAAGATTAGCTATGTGCAGTAACAGAAGGGTTCATGCTAAGGAACTGGACATCCTGTTTTAGAAAGAAAAAAGTGAGAGACTGCAAGTGTTGGCCAATGTTAGCATACTTACTGTCATCACCAACAGGCCCTGCTG